CCTACAACCTCTGGTTGATCTTCTCCCTATGGATCAGGGTCCTACAACTTTGGTTGACCTTCTCCCTACAGACCAGAATCCTACAACCTTTATTTGACCTTTTCCCTACGGAGTGGGAGGTCCTACAACTTTTGGTTGATTTTCTCCCTATGGATCAGGGTCCTACAATCTTTCGTTGACCTTTTCCCTATGGATCAGAGTCCTACAACCTCTGTTTGAACTTCTCCCTACAGTCCAGAATCCTACAACCTCTGGTTGACCTTCTCCCTACAGACCAGAATCCTTCAACATCTGGTTGACCTTCTCCCTATGGATCTGGGTCCTACAACTTTGGTTGACCTTCTCTCTATCCTACAACCTCTGGTTGACCTTCACCCTACTGACCAGAATCCCACAACCTTTGGTTGACCTTCTCCCTACAGACCAGAATCCTACAACCTTTCATTGACCTTCTCCCTATGGATCTGGGTCCTACAACTTTTGGTTGACCTCCCTACAGACCAGAATCCTACAACCTTTGGTTGACCTTCTCCCTATCCTACAACCACTGGTTGACCTTCTCCCTATGGATCAGGGACCTACAACCTCTGGTTGACGTCCTCCCTACAGATCAGGGTCCTACAACCTTTGGTTGACCTTATCCTTATGGATTGGGGGTTCCTACAACCTTTGTTTGACGTCCTCCCTTTGGACTGGGAAGTCCTACAACTTTTGGTTGACCTTCTCTTTACGGATCGGGGGTTGGAGGTCCTATAACCTTTGGTTGACCTTCTCCCTACAAATCAAGGTCCTACAACTTTTGGTTGACCTTCTCCCTACAAATCAGCAGCTGGAGGTCCTACAACTTTGGTTGACCTTATCCTTTTGGATTGGGGGTTCCTACAACCTTTGTTTGACCTCCTCCCTTTGGAATGGGAGATCCTACAACTTTTGGTTGACCTTCTCCCTATGGATCAGGGGTTGGAGGTCCTACAACCTTTGGTTGACCTTCTCCCTGTGGATTGGGAGTTCCTACAACTTTTGACTTCCTCCCTTTGGACTGGGAGGTCCTACAACCTTTAGTTGACCTTCTCCCTACAAATCAAGGTCCTACAACTTTTGGTTGACCTTCTCTTTACGGATCGGGGGTTGGAGGTCCTACAACCTTTGGTTGACCTCCTCCCTTCGAACTGGGAGGTCCTACAACTTTTAGTTGATTTTCTCCCTATGGATCAGGGGTTGGGGGCCCTACAACTTTTGGTTGACCTTCTCCCTACAGATCAGCAGCTGGAGGTCCTACAACCTTTGGTTGACCTTATCCTTATGGATTGGGGGTTCCTACAACCTTTGTTTGACATCCTCCCTTTGGATTGGGAAGTCCTACAACTTTTGGTTGACCTTCTCTTTACGGATCAGGGGTTGGAGGTCCTACAACTTTGGTTGACCTTATCCTTTTGGATTGGGGGTTCCTACAACCTTTGGTTGACGTCCTCCCTTTGGACTGGGAGATCCTACAACTTTTGGTTGACCTTCTCTCTACAAATCAGCAGCTGGAGGTCCTACAACCTTTGGTTGACCTTCTCCCTACAAATCAAGGTCCTACAACCTTTGGTTGACCTCCTCCCTTTGGACTGGGAGATCCTACAACTTTTGGTTGACCTTCTCCGTGGTTTCCCCCTCTGTTTCCCCATTGACACCGCAAAGCGAACCGAGGGGACGAGAATTTGGGAGGTGACAGCCGGGGGGGGTCCTGAAGTGACTCCTTGTTCTCTGTCACCTCCAGTCACCTTCCCTGAAGATCTCCACTGTGCCAAGGTCACCATCGTCCCCGAGGAGCGATGCCGGCGCGTCTACCCGGGTTCCATCACCTCCAACATGGTGTGCGCCGGGGAGCACCGCAACCGCGCCGACTCCTGCCAGGTGGGTGCAGAGCTGGGCCAGAATCGTTGCAGGGGGTGGGGGGTCCCAAATTTGGGGCGGTTCTATGGTGGGTGTGAGATCTGGGCCCTTTCCCAACGTGTCGCCCCAAAAATGGTCCCAAATTTGGGGTATTTCCATGATGCAAAATGGTCCCAAATTTGGGGCAGTTCAGTGGCCTGAATCATTCCCAAATTTGGGGCATTTCTATGACCCCAAATATTCCCAGATTTGGGGCATTTCTATGACCCAAAACAGACCCAAATTTGGGGTGGTTCTATGGTGGGTTGTGAGATCTGGGCCCTTTCCCAACGTGTCGACCCCAAATGGCCCTAAATTTGGGGAATTTCCATGACGCAGAATGGTCCCGAATTTGGGGCAGTTCTGTGGCCTGAATCATTCCCAAATTTGGGGCATTTCTATGACCTGAAACAGACCCAAATTTGGGGTGGTTCTATGGGGCTGTGAGATCTGGGCCCTTTCCCAACGTGTCAACCCAAAAGTGGTCCCAAATTTGGGACCAGTTTGTGGCCCCAAATATTCCCAAATTTGGGGCATTGCTACATCCTGAAACATTTCCAAACTTGGGGCAGTTCTGTGGTCTGAAACATTCCCAAATTTGGGGCAGTTCTACG